TGTAACATCGAATAAAAGGGAAGGAGGCTTCATAAAGCTTCAATGTTTTGGTAAATTTTTTTTAAAAAACATATCGGTGGGTCTTACTGAACATTGTCTATAAGAAAAAGAGTAGCGCTTAAATGTATCCATTAGAATAAGAGAGGTGTAACCATTTAGTTTTCTTTAAAAGTTGGCTTTCGGTCTGTTAAAGTAAAGGTACACTCACTCTCTCAATCTCTGTCTTTTAAATGCAAATATTTTCAATTCTGAAATAAAGGCTGAAAGTACTCGCCAAGTAATTGAAATTTTGCCGTACAATAAATAGTCTATCTTAAAATGAAATAGAAATTCAGGGTTAAGCATGGCGATATATTAGTGTAAAGTTTGCTCAGTCGACAAATTCAATTCTACATATTATAGGCTGTCTTTAAATATAATAATTGTAAAACGAACATATTATAAAGTGTACAGATATACATACAATATTTTAGAGTCTTGAGCCCGACAGTGTATGTCAGAATTGTATGGTACACAGACATTTTGTGTTTCTAGACCCCTGTATCTTATGAGAGAATTGTGACGTGTCTGTATCTCCTGCCCAGAGGTGTGCGGTTCCTCTTATGACGTGGCCATCGTGGGGGCGGGGCCAGGGGGAGCTAACTCCGCCTACATGCTGAGGGAGTCTGGCCTGGACATCGCTGTGTTTGAGTACTCTGACCGGGTGGGTGGCCGTCTGTTCACCTACCAGCTGCCCAACACACCCGACGTGAACCTGGAGATTGGCGGCATGAGGTTCATCGAGGGCGCCATGCACAGACTCTGGAAAGTCATTTCAGAACTCGGTACGGTTGGTCAACACACCTAAGCTTACACACAATATGTTATTGCTACTGTATTGACTGATAGCAACCTGCCCTTAAATAACCTAATAGTGTTAAACCTATACCATTTCACCATTTTTTTTTACTGATAGCAATTAAGTGCTGGAACTTGTGTCCAATAAAATCACTGGTAACACACAATCAGGAAAACATTTATATTACAGGGTCAACTATTAAATGAGCTAAAGGGTCCCTGTGAACCATTAATATAAGTCTTTATATATGTATCTATTATAGTTTGAACTCTGTCAACCCTCCCTAAACTGTCACACCCCCCCCCCCCCACCCCACATAATCCAAAACAAACAATTTTCCTAAACGCTGTTTTCATACCCACAAATTTGGCACTCAAAACTGGCAATAAATAAGAAACATGTAACTACATAACCAGTATACTCTAGTCTATTCTTGACAAGCAGAAAGAATAATAAGCTCCTTCCTCCAACAGGACTGACCCCCAAGGTGTTCAAGGAGGGTTTCGGCAAGGAGGGCAGACAGAGGTTCTACCTACGTGGACAGAGCCTGACCAAGAAACAGGTCAAGAGCGGGGACGTACCCTATGACCTCAGCCCGGAGGAGAAGGCCAACCAGGGACGTCTGGTCGAGTGAGTCTAGGGAGACTTGGCTGGTGGTGGTGGTGGTGGTGGTTGTGGTTGCTGTTGTTGTTGTTCTTGCTGCTGTTGTTGTTGTTGTTGTTTTCGTTGTAATTGTTGTTTTATCGAGTATCGTGTAGTGATGATGTTTTATTGGTATAAGTATCATTGAGGTTGTCTTTGTTGATGATCATTCAAGAAATAAATTAGGATGTTTTTGTGCAAGACGTAAAAAGTAGAGGAGATTTTCAAGGAGAGGGAAAAACTGTTTTGACTGGACTTCGAACATCAGACGTTTACTCATTTATCTCATTCTTCACCTACTCTGTCTTCTGGCGGCACAAAATATGTTGGTACATCGGTGGAATTACATTGCAGTATGAGATGACAACCTTTTTAAAAAGTTGAGGAATTAGAATTTCGACACCTGTAAATGCTTTCGTCAATGTAAGGCAAACACCAGGAACAGACTGTCAAGTTTGACCTACATTTGTCGGTTTCCCGCCCTCCACAGATACTACCTGGAGAAACTGACCGGATTACAGCTCAACGGCGAACCACTCAAACGGGAGGTGGCTCTCAAACTGACCGTACCCGACGGCAGATTCCTCTATGATCTCACGTGAGTCACTCACCAGTAAACTGTTCAAAGTGAGAGGCTAAAACAACACATATCTCACTCACCAGTAAACTTTTAAAGTGAAAGACTAAATCAATACATTTCTAACTCACCAGTAAGCTTTTTATACTGAAAAACTAAAATAATACTTATCTCAAGGTAAATGTAGGACATCGCTATCCACCTAAAATAGCTTCTACACAATATCTTTCTTGTAATGGTTAGGATCAACGACAAGTCTGCAAAGGACCTGGGTTTGTTGCATATCATAGGACATTTGTCGAGACAGACAAAGCCACAACAACTGACATTCAAAAAGGAGTCGTATTAATTTTTCATCAAGGTACCAAGATCCTTGTAAAAATTATGTCAATGACGCCGTAAAAAATTGTCTCCAAGTTCACCCAAACCCTTGTCAAACCCTTGTCAAAATTATGTCAATGATGCTGTAAAAGATGTTCTCCAATTTTCCCCAAATGTTGGCAGGTTTGACGAAGCTCTGGACCTGGTGGCCTCCCCTGAGGGCAAAGAGTTCGCCCGAGACACGCACGTGTTTACCTCAGAGGTCACACTGGACGCGTCGGCTATCTCTATCTTCGATGACCACCTGGGAGAGGACTAGTTAGTGGCTATACAGCTCTTTCTTCATTCATTCAACCAGTCATTCTCGCCCCACCGTCACTTCCCTGAATTCCATATTGAAAACAATTAATTCTTAACAAATGCTGATATTCATTCTGTTATCTATTGACTCTTCCATCTACTTATTTATTCAAATTTGTGTATCATCATTTGAATTTCTTCACGTTGACTATTATTATAAAGTGCACTCTAAATACATTTCACAAACCATACATAAAACAAAAATATTATGTATGCACATGTCATTTTTCTATTTTTATCTCCGGCAAGAAATTCACCATTAATTATCACTCTTATACATTGATTAGAAACAAAACAAAATTTCAGAGAAGGAAAACAAAAGACAGAAAAAACTAGCAGTTAAAAGAAGTACATCCGTTCTTCCATCCATCCATCCCCAGCTATGGCAGTGAGATCTACACCCTGGAGGAAGGAATGTCTTCTGTACCACAAGGACTGCTACAGACTTTTCTGGACGCCGCTAAATCGTGAGGACAGATTTGTTCTGGAACTTTGGTTTTACTTAACTCTATGGGAATACAGACTCGTAGGGGCATATTTGTTCCAAAACTTTTGATTTACTTAACTCTTTGAGGACCAGTGTTCTGGCCGTTCGTCAATGTTTTGTTTCATAACACAATGAAAAAATTAACCCCTGCTGAAAAATTTCCATCAACATCTGTACCTACAAGATTAAATGTTAATTCAAGGAATATTTAAACACAGAGAATGGTATCAGAATAAGGAAAATCACAAGCTGTAACTAAAACAACTAAAACTTTTGTCAACCAGATGAAACAATATAAGTGGAGAATACAAGCCAGGGCATACGTCTACCCAGCAGTGAACAGGTTAAAATGACTTCGTTACATCTACAATTTTCTCCTTTTGACACTTTTAAAAAAGACATACAAACAAAGTACATAACTTTCTTAGATTCAAAGTATGCATGTTAGTTAGAAATGTGCCAAAAAATTGCCGTAACATGCTGCTGATCGTGCGTGCGCACGCGGACACATACACACACAAATCTGTATTATATTAAATAGCTGAGGGAATTCTCTTACCCATAACCTAGGCAGCATGGTCTTTTATCTTCCCATAATTCTATTCTCCCTCTGTTGTTGTCCCTAGCAACGAGTTCTTCCCCAACAACCACCTGAAGGCTCTGAGACGGAGGACCAATGGTCAGTATGTCCTGTACTTTGAGCCAACCACGTCCAAGGATGGACAAACAACCATCAACTATCTGGTAGGTCACTCACCATCATCTGCTTGTTAGGTCACTCTCTAACTCTCTGTTTGCTTCATGAGGCACGGACACTGTTCCATAAGACAGTGTGAATGGTTTAATCACAGTTCAACCACTTATCTGGGCACATTTCTATGAGGAACAAAAACGTACAGCTGTACTCAGTCTACACCATAACACTATGATAATCTTGCAACTTCTAATCCGTCCTTTTCTTACCCTCAACCTGGTCACTTTTGTTCTCCATACTGAGAGTGAGAAATAGGGTGAGAAAATTTTTAAACTAAATTTGTAAAAATATCACCAAAAACAAAGAATGTAGCTGAGACAGAAATTTGTTATGTGCATGCGTCTTGCTGCTGCTTATTATGGTGCTTTTGTCGTCAATGTTACTGACTGATGATGTTGTATGGTCACTGTCATTCTTGCTGTAGTTGTTGTTGTTGTTGCTGTTGTTGTCTTTGTTGCCGTCAGTAACCACCTTCACGCCCGTTCCCCCGACAGGAACCCCTGAAGGTTGTGTGTGCTCAGAGAGTCATCCTGGCCATGCCGGTCTACGCTCTCAGACAACTGGACTGGTCACAGCTCAGGTCAGAGAAAAGGAACAAACGTATCTCTCGACCTACTTTGGCTTTAATAAGATATAAGAAAGTATTGGGAGTGGGAGGGGGGTCAAACTTACTTATTCAGTGTGGGGGTTGGGGGGGGGGTCAAATTTATTTACTGACCTACTTTCATATCAGTTATAATATACATATAGGAGGACGGAGCTCCAACTCATCCCTGATAGACATCCAGGTTTACTTGATGAGTTTTGTTTTGTACGTTTGTTAAAAATGGCATTGTAACTGTAAAGAAGGATGAGATAATTAATAGTCCATTACTATGATCAACCTCATTGCCACAATAAGAAAAAATGCTGTAAAACGAGCGTATGCAGTAGTTCTCTTTTACAATGATGCACGAACAACAAAATGAACGGGATTTTGTGTTTCTGTTTTTATATTCTTGAGATCAAAATAAATCCATTTGCCACCCCCTCCAACCCCTCCCTTCATCTTCCTCTTCAGAAATGACCGCGCCACCCAAGCGTACAGAGCCGTGCGTCCAATGCCTGCCAGTAAAGTCTTTATGACCTTTGACCAGCCCTGGTGGTTGCAGAATGAGAGGAAATCTTGGGTCACCAAATCAGACGCGCTTTTCAGGTACGTGTGTGTGTGTGTGTTTGTGTGTGTGTGTGTGTGTGTGTGTGTGTGTGTGTGTGTGTATATATATGTGTGTGTGTGTGTGTGTGTGCGTATGTGAGTGTTTGTGCACGTGTGTTGTGTGTGTGTGTGTGTGTGTGTGTGTGTGTGTGTGTGCGTATGTGAGTGTTTGTGCACGTGTGTGTGTGTGTGTGTGTGTGTGTGTGTTTGTTTGTGTGTGAATGTGAATGTTTGTGTGTATGTTATGCTTATAAGTATCTCATTTTTAAAAAGACATCCTCTAAGGCCACCCTCTTTTCCTCTTCCCCTGGACAGCCAAATGTATGACTGGCAGAAGTCCGAGGCTTCCGGAGATTACATCCTGATCGCCAGCTACGCCGACGGCCTCAAAGCCCAGTACCTGCGCGAGCTGAAGGATCAGGGAGAGGACATCCCAGGCTCTGACCCCGGCTACAACCAGGTCACCGTACCCCTCAAGGACGCCATTCTTGAACACCTCACTGAGGCGTACGGTCAGTACTTATGTTTTATGTGTTTGTTTGTTTGTTTTCTTTTCTTTATTTGATCAGTTCTCAGACAACCTCTTGAATTATAGCACTCTTAAGTTTTATCTATTTGAGTTTCTTCGCCAGCAGTATTTTTTGTCTTGAGTAGTTTTGCATTTAATTATAAACAGTCCGGTCCAATGTCTTGGTATTATTTAAGTTTAATACCCGAATAAAACTAAAATCTTACAAAGGAGGGACTATGAGAGATAACGTGAAGCTTTGATTGATTTCAATCAAATTAATGTGGGCCCATAAAATCCATGACTTCATGAGTAACCTGATGCCTACTGAGTTATATGTTGCTCCCCCCACCCCCCCTTTCCACACACACACACACACACGCACGCACTTCTTTGAAGTGAACTAAAAACAGAACCACAATACGATTATTCCATTTATTTTGTCTCCCATTTGTTTCCCTTCCTGAGTCGTTACAAGTTGTTCTTGTTGTAGTAATTCTTCTTTTTCTTTACAATGAAGCTTTGTTTTCACGAGTTATACTATTCTGGCGAAATGTTATAGTATCACGCTGACTCTTCTTTATCTCCACCACTACAACATCACCTTGTCCCTTCCCTCCCCCCAGGCGTGGAGCGAAAGTCGATCCCAGAACCCGTGACTGCTGCCTCCCAGTTCTGGACAGACTACCCGTTTGGCTGCGGCTGGATCACCTGGAGGGCCGGTTACCATTTTGATGACGTCATCAGCACCATGCGTCGCCCATCACTGAAAGATGAGGTCTATGTGGTAGGATCGGATTACTCCTGGGGACTTATCTCCTCCTGGATAGAGGGCGCTCTGGAGACATCCGAAAACGTCATCAACGACTACTTCCTCTAAGTCTACATCACTACATGGCCGTCTCCGATATATCGGATAATGTTTGTGTATGTCTTGTTTGTTGCAACTTTATGAAATATAAATAGGATCTTTTTAATGTTAAAGTATAGAATCACCGAATTGTACCACTCGTAGTGCATGCTTAGACTGTCTATGCTTGTTTCTGACATGTTTCTAATAGTTTTACTTGAAAATAAACCAGTCAAACAAGTGTGTCTTAATATCAGAATATTGTGTTTATGGCTGGTACTTCTTTTTTGTCAAGCGTTGGCTGTTTACAATTCTCTGTCCATCTGATGCTCTGTTCTGTGTTGCTTGTGCTGCTTGGGAGAGAGAATCCAAATGCAATGTTACCGTGCTGTATGGAAGCAAAATCAATTTGTATAAACTTTACATCAAATGTTTTGCGACACAGTGGAATCAGGCATTCGTCAGTTATTTGGCACATGAAGGTATTGGTATCATTTAAAACAAAAACTTGTTCATAAATCGTCTTGCTTTAGATTAAACAATACCCATCTACGAGCCTTGAGTAGAAGTCAGGGTATTTGCAATTGAAGGAGGTCGGGTTTGATTAATGTCAGAAGTAAAATTATCAAGACAATAACGGTTAAAGTTTGATGACTTCCGTATCTCCAATGTACTGGAAAATTGTATATATAGGGTTCTGCTGTAAAGCAAAAAGCAAACAAAAAACAAAACTATTTTCTTGACGAAAAGAAAAAAAAGACTTGTTGGTAAGCAATTAATGAATAAGAAACAACAACAGCAAATACAAAAACTACCAGTTGTGATATAGACAAAAAACAGAGATAAAACAAAATACAAAAACTGATAAGACTGTTATTTTAAAAAAACAACAACCCACCAATAACAACAGCAACAATACGACAATTGTTAGTAGGCTAATGTTTTTTAAAAAACAACATTTGTCTGAAAAACAGCAAAAACCCATCTCGAAAACTGTAAGTTAACTTCCTGTTCTGGAACCCCCACCCCCAGACCGAAGAAAAAGAGAACAAACAAACAAATCTTCTGTAGCTGCTGGGTAGGCGCTATCTCCAAAGGGGATATAACCAACAATGATATTTCCTCATTGTTGTTGCTTTTTTTAATTCTGTTTTTCTTCTGGGTTTGTTTGTTTGTTTGTTTGTTTGTTTTTGTTGTTGATGTTGTTGGTTGTTGTTGTTTTTTTAGTTCTTTTTTTTTTGGGGGGGGGGTGTAAGTGTTTTACGGCGCTCACAACTGCTTAATAAGGTCACATGAGCGCACGGGACACGAAAGCAAATGACAGAATGGGAAGAGAGAATAAGAAAGGAGATGAAAAGGGAATATTTTAGGGAGGTAAATTTTTCGTCACAGTCAGGGTTCGAATCCAAGAGTGATTGATGAGAGGCGAACACAGTAGGGCCTACCCTCCCGAACACGCGTACCTCTTCTCTCCAAAAAGGAGAACTGGACAATCTCTCTCTGGAACTGAACGCTTTTAAGATGGAGAACTACTGGTTCGGAGTCTTGTCATCACAGCTACAGCCAGTTTACCGGCAGTGTCTTACTCTCCTTCTTGCCAAGTCTCCCAGCGAACGAACAACAATCTTTTAGATCCGAGACATCATAAAGCGTTCAACTCTCGAGACACTACTTTCGTGAATTTACCTTTATTCTTGACCCTTCTTATGGACAAAGTATCGCAGCGAACAAGCGACACTCTTTCAGAACCGAGACATTATAAAGCGGCACACAATCGAGAAACGCCTTTAGCCAATATACATGACGTGTATGACCGTCCTTCTTGACCAATATCGTAGCGAACAAGCACTCTTCATGGGGACGAGCGCATCTTCTGCAAGTTCTCCATCACAGTGAAAGACGACAGATCCTTCAGGCAAATTTTCTGCAAGCTCTAAACAGCAGTTCTTGCGGTAAACATGGGTACACGACCCCCCCCCCCCCTCCCCCCACCCTAGTCGGCATTCTGACCACGCTCACAACTTGGCACAAGGTAAAATCTCTGCTTCTTAACAGAAGAAAAGAACAACATACAAAAGAAAGCCCTTATTAGGGCTACCGACGAAGAAACAGTCCTTTACAGGGCTGCTCATGGTCATTTTCAGGACAAACAAAAACGTCCTTCCTGGGACGAACGACGAAACCAAAACATCAAACAATTCTTTTCAGGGCTGCCAGAAAAATTACAAATTATATCCTCAGTCGAATTGAGGACAAGATGAAGGTATGAAGAAGCATACAGAACTTCATGAACTTACGAACTCCCCGGGATATCCTGAAAAAGGTCACAGCTGAATGACAAGAAATCCCTGTTGCAAGAACATCAGCAACAACATTTTTAATGCGGCCAGTGTTCTTAATAGAGCAGTGTGACACCAAAAGCCCGTTTAACTCAGATGGAAAACGTTGAAGATTTTCCCACTTCCTACTCCTAGTCAGGAAAGGTACAATCAATGATGCTCTGTCCGTACAACATCAACTCGTATTTGAGACGTCTGTTAAGGCCCCGCTATGACAGGACAGAGTACACAACACCGACCCCTTCCATAGTAGAAGTGTCGCGTAGGTTAAACGCACCTGTCTAAACTGTGAGTTTATGGAAAAGACGAGAACTCCAAACTTAACGCCCCTATCAATACTGGGAGTTCAGTTAATTAGTGATAGTAGGGTTTTACGGCGCTTGCAACTGCTAAGGTCACAAGAGCGCCATCGCCAAGGGGTGGATGTCAACAGAGAAATCCAAACGGGGAATCCAACTTACTCTGCTCTCCTCTCTAGCTCCAACGGCACAAATTCTGCTTCGACTATCAAGGCTCCCCGGGAATAGCAGGTCACAAGAGAGTGACAAACATACAAAAGAAGTAGAAAGAAAAATAATGATAATAGTAATGATGAGGCAAGAAAAAGCAGCAGTTCCCCGTATATTGTTAGGCACAGTACGAGCATGACACTGATAAATCAGCCCGTTTACAATTCTACTCTGCGCAATGTTTGGGAATGGCCCAAAGACACTTCAGCCAGTAGCCCTGCCCTGGTGGAAGGACTGAGAGTTTATTGAAAAGACGAGACCTCCGACCGTTTCTTATGGGGCTTACCCAAGTGTGTGTGTGAGGGGGAAGAGCTTGAAAATTCTGTAAACAATCCAAAGTCAGGAAGGCCGCATTGGGGATTCGAACAAGGGCCATACACACCACAGTCCAGCATGTTATCACCTGAGCAAACAGGGCACCCGAACGCTTCCATGCACTCTGTGACGTCGTCGTGTGTTGGTCATGTTCGTGCAGAATAAGGCACTTTGGAAATTATCCAAACACGAAGCATGCACGCCAGTATAACATTGACAATACCATGTCTTCTAATGACTGTTCCATGCGGACACCGTTAAAAATTGGTCTCTCTTTTTTTAGGACAAGCGGGCTAACCCAGATTTCGAGGGTTTCCAGAAACCGTGACCTACACCAAATGTGGGCATTGCCCTACCTATTGGAGAAGTTCGATTTCATCGGTGAGTATATTTGTTAGGCTATAGAGAAAACTCTCCTTGTCTTTTAAAGAAACTGAACAAGGGGCAAAAACTTTACCTTCGGTTTTTTCAAAACAGCATTTTTCGGGATAGCCCCCTTGTGCTAAAAAGCAACTAACAGAAACCTTTCTATTTGTCCATCTGTCTTTGGGTAGGTCTAAAATACTAGAATTTCTCCCCGCCTCAGTATCTCAACAACAGCAGTCAACTATTTAGCTGATTGAGGCGTGAATTAAAATAAAACATTACCAATGGGAGGGAAAACGAAAGGACCGCAAAGGGATAAGAAATAAAAAAGACTCCTAAGGGAGAGAGGTTTTTAGGGGGGGGGATAAGTGTTTTACGGCGCTCGAAACTGCATAAGCCCATATGAGCGCACGGGACATGTTAAACATATTCAGTTGGTAGGAAATTTTGAATTTTGCTCTGGTGGCGACGGAAGACTACTCATACCGATTTTGGACACCAAGGGATCTTTAACCTGCGCAACGTGCACATGGGACCTCCGAGATTTTTCACCCTTGTCCGAGAAGCCTAGGTGTAGATCTTTCCTACCAGAAGATCAGGGGTGTGGGTGAAAGACAAGGAGCCAAGGAGTAACAGCCTCTAGAAAGGCTACAGAAAGAGTCAGGAGCCCAGAGAAGGGGGCATAGAAGGTGAGGGGGTTGGGGCAGAAAATGGATACGAAAGCAGACGACAGAACATTGCTAGAGAGCATGAAAGGATGTGAAAGGAGACAATTTTAAAGAAGAACATTTTCCGCCGCAGTCCGGATTCGAATCCGGGACGTATTGAATATGAGGCGAACACCTTAACCCGTAGGCCAAGAGAACCCCCGAGAGAGGGGGTGTGGTGATTAATCGAAGAAAATGGGAAGAGGAGGTGAAAGATTAAAGTGTGTCATGTTTGCTCTGAACAGGTTTGAAACTAGGCACCTTTGGAATAGGAGCTAAGCACGGTACCTCTAGGCTACATTTCTTCCAGAACACAAGCCTAAACTCTCTGCCAAGCAAAGAACGCAGCACCGTTACCAAGAGGGGCAATAATCTGTATATTAATTTGTTCAAAAAAGTAAAACATAATTATTGTAGTAGTGCGGCTCAAAATATGTGGCGCAACTTATTCTTTGTCAAATATTTCAATAACTATCAAGCATAGACTCTCTAGCTTTCGCACAATGACTTATATCGATTTGTCTTAACAGAGCAGTATTTTGGTACATATCTTTTAAAAAGCCAAGTGGGTGGTTTCTACATATTTTAAAAGGTTTACAAGCTTGGAAAGTATCACTTTTTAAAGACAGTCATTCTTTTCTATCGAAACACTACCTTTATTGAACGCATGTTTTGAGAACCTTTAGTGAAAAAATGTGTTCCCTATAAAATCAAGTTCTTGTAACAAGTTTTGCCACAAAAAGTGCCACTGGTGAGCTGCGACGTAGGCCATATGTATGCGTATGCAAAATGTGTGTGAGGAGCGGGAAGTGCTGTGCACACTCCCATTTTCTGCGGGACTAGTATTTTATATAACTTTATGAAGAAAGATTTTTGATCCAGCCTCAAATGTGGTAAAATATGATTAAAATAAGACAAATTATTATTGATACAAACTGCTGTGCAAAGCATGGATGGCATTGATTCACCCGTTAAAGAGATACTAGTGTTAAAGGTGTGCCACCAATTTTTGACCGCACTATAGATTCAAATCTTCAATTTGGTAAAGGACGTGCAAGATTTCTCATCTACTGGAACAGAGGTAGAAAAGTCAAGACGTTGCCTATTGGTGGGGGAAAGAAGCAATTCCTCACAAGGGAGGTTATCACACAGATCTTTACTTCAGTGTG